TATTTTTAAGTAATTTATAATTTCCTTTTAATAATAATAGTTTACTTCTTCTAAAAAGTTTCCTATTTTTCGTACTCCCCGCTCTTATTTAGGTAGAATTACTATAATTCCGTTTAATACCCTTCAACGGTCTAATTGGGGTAGTTATATTAATATAGATTAATGAATTTATAATTATTAAATTCCTCGGGTATAAATATTAAGGGCGAAATTAATAGTAGGGTAGTATTTATTATATATATAATTATAAAGAGAGCCTAGTCGGTAGTAGGGAGGTTATTAATTTCTTCCTATATTAAGGTTTAGTACGCTTATACTTAGGGTATATTATTATTCTATACCTCCTCTTTAGAATCCTTCTTATTAAATCCTTCCTATCTATATTTATTATTAGCCTCCTATTAAACTTCCTAATCGAAATTTATAATTCTATTTATAGTATTTTCTAAATCGTTTTAATTATATTCGGCGTTAGCAATTTTAATTACCCTAACTCCTTCTACTATAGTAGTTTCCGTTTTCCTCCAATTTAATTATTTAAATATATAATAATCTTTTTTTATATACCTAATTTTATTATAATTAAAGTATTTAACCTTCGAAAGGTCCTATTTACTTTAATTAATTTAAATTATATCGATTTCTATAGGTTTTAAATAGGTAGTTTTAGAAAAGTAAATTCCCTAAATCCTTTTCTTTTTAGTATTAGTATAATAGGTTTTAGAAGGAACGAAGGGAATTACTCTTCCTTTCTTTTCCTACTCCTATTAGAATAGTCAATTATTAATACGGATAATTATATCGATATATATATTAATAGGTTCGGGACGGTCTTTTTTATAGAATTCGTCCTTAATTCTTTCCTTAAAACTAATATAAAATAGCTATATTAACCTATTATTATTAATATTATTACGAAGGGAATCTTATTTAAAGAATATAGTATAGGTTAAAGTAGATTTAATTTATTAAAACTAAATTAAGCGTTTCTAAGCCTAACGAATTTTATCCTTTTTTTAAAAATTTGAATAAGGGCTTTAGTAAATTTATTATAACTACTTAGAATCTTCTTATTAAAATCCAAAGCGTTATTTCTATTTTTATAAAAGTCTTTAAAAATAGGTTCGTACTAGGTAAGGGCCCTATTTACTAATTTAATCCCTATATAGGCTATTTTATTAAATTTAGAGTTAAACCAATTTCTATAGAAGTAGAGATAGGTTTACATTTAGATTAAAAATCCTATAAAGGTAAATTACTATCTATCGTACTCTTTAAATATAGTTAATTTAAATTTAGGATAGTTAGTAAGCGGAGTATCCTATATAGCCTCGAACTATTAGTATATAAAAGCAAGGCTCGCAGGATTACCCTAGTAGGTAAAATTATTATTATTTCTAATAATAAATATAATAAAGCGAAGAAATACCTTTAATTACTATTTAAAATAAGTTAAAAGGAATAATTAATATATAACGAACGGTAGTTTAATTTACTTAAATAAAATAATTGAAAGTAAGAACTATTAGAATCGTTCGGTAAAGTTAAAGGGTTTATAATAAATATATTTATAATACTAATTTTAATAATAATAATTAAATTATATTAATTACTATCAAACTATTTAATAATTTAAATTCTCTAATCGTCCCTTTATACTTCCCGTATCGTTTATTCTATAGCTAGCTCACTTATATTATCGTAATACTAATTTACTCCGTAAGCCCGGCGTTAATTTACTAGCGTAAGCCCGGAATTAATTTACTAGCGTAAGTCCGGAATTGGCTTACCAGCGTAAACCCGGAACTAGCTTACTAGCGTAAGCCCTATCTCCGACGCCTTTCTTAACCCTACCCTAGCCCGTAATTATACGAGCTAGCCTTTCTAGGTTGCTTATACTACCGATAGTCTGGTTAGCCCGTGTACTTACCTTAAATTCGTAATACAATTAGTTTAAATTATTGTACGTAGAGTTTAAATATGTATTTAATAACCCGTATACTTTACTCTATAATATATTTAATAAAATATATATACTTATTAAAAAGAAGTAAAAGGATTATAATAATAAGATCGCCCGTAAAAGCTTCACTTTATGGGATAGTTACAAACGTAACCTTCTATTAATAACTATTATAGAAAAGGTTTTGTAAAAGGCGCTTACCCTTATTTAAAACTAGTATAACTAGGTTAAAATATATATTATAAGTAATGTTTAAGCTACCTTCTATACGTATAGTTACTTTTAGTAGTTCGGATTACCCTATTATTATATACTGGCGGTACGTATAGACTTAACGCATAATAATTTTAGTATAAAGGGGGTTATAGAATGTAGATTATTCGTTCTAGAGGAAATTGATTAATATTAGTACTTACCTACGGATTTAGTAATTTCTTATTCCTTTTTACTATATTATTTTAAGAGTCAATTTACTAATAAAAGTAGGCTATAATTGACCCTAAAAAATATATTAAAGATTTAAATATTGTTAAGCAAATAAAGAAAGTTAAAATGAAGGTAATAGACTTACCTCTCCAATTTACTAAATTTATTCCCTTATAAACTACTTAATCTAATTCTACTCCTAGTATTAATAGTTAAGTAAGTTAGATAAGCTATATAATTCAATATTAACCCCTTCTTACAACCAATTAAAAGACGAGCTTTATTAAAGTATAAAAGGGTTTAAAGGCTAATAAGTATTTACCTTCTTACTAGGAAGAGGGATATATTGTTAGAAGTTATAGTAGCCTAGTAGTATTAGTAATAGAGGCTCCCTATATTTTTAGTACTAATTTACTAACTAGTATCCCTTGCGAAATTATTTATATACCCTTATTACTACCATCTAGGCAGCCGCTAGTATTAAAGCCAAAGTAGTAGAATATGTAATTATATACACATATATAGAGTAAATTATAAAATCATATAAATTAGAGAGCTCTAAAATAGACTATAAAAAATAAATACTCCTCTCCTCTCTACACTCTTCTCTACACTACACACAAATCTAGTAATATAGGGTACGGTTAGGTATACCTTAGCGGTATGCGTTAACAGCTTTGGCACGTATAGGCATACGAGGGTTAGTCTGTATAAGAAACCCTACTTTTTTACGGGGATTCTCGCTGATTTTAATGACAGGGACCCCTGCACACCCGGGGCACACAAAATATTTGACGTGCCAGCTCCCCTGCCCTGTACTCTTACCCCATGCGGTTAAGTAGTCTAGATATAGGGGAAGGGGGTAGTCTGTCTATAGCCCGGCTCACTGCAGTGGGGAACTGGAAAGAACGGACCGTAGCCGCCCGGCCGTTGGCACCATCACACAAAAGTGCGTTCCGTTCTTTTTCGTCACCGGGCTACGACGCCTGCAGCGGCCGGGGGTTGATATGGGAGACCACTTCACATCCGATACCTACCCCGCGCGCACAGCTTGGTAGTAGCCTCTTCTTTCTTTTTTTTTTTTTTTTTGCCCTTAAGGCTGTCTGAAAGCAACGACTCACAAGGCTTATTGGTATGCGAGGGATATCGGCAAAGGCTTGGGTGAAAGTCGGCATTGCTTTTGGATAAAATTCTGTCTACACTACACTCGCCGAAGTGGGATGACAAAAGTCGCATGAATGAGCGTGAATCCCCTTTGCTGCTAAAAGCGGATTCCGTTCGGACGAGGTTGTCTTTCATCTTGGCCGACTACAAGCCACCCAGACAAAGCTCATTATGGCTCTTGTCAGTTTGTATACTGCCTCGACAGCGCCGCAAACTATTATTAATGCACGTACATACACAAACGGACCTGAAGTTGTCCTGGTCCGCTCGAGGCATTGTCACAGGCTATGTATGATACAACCTCTACGCAAGCACAATTCCTAACTGAGCTATGTAACCTCCATCGTATGTAGTAAGGGGTCCGGGCGTGGCTTGGTCGGGGCACCGGCGGAACAACGAAACGTCGAATGAGCGAGGGATGATCGGCAAGCTTGACTCTGAATCACTCCTAGATAGCGGGGCGGTGGAGTGGTGAGAAGCATTCTCGACATTGCCATTGGTGGTCATTGCCCATTGCCTCGATCTTGAAGTCCCCCCTAGTGTACCGTTGCTTTTTGAAGCGAACCTGCGGCTTCGGACCACTTGGGATCTGATCCGCGATCCTGGGCTTGGTTTCTTTGTTTTCAGCTCCGAGAGGCAAGACGCTTGAGAGCGTCGAAAGTCGAGTAGGTACTAGATGCTCCAGTTTACCAGCGAGCAACAAAGACCCCTTTCATGAACTGACCACAGAGCAACAGAGCTGCTACTCGGTCGGCGTCCAGTTGCCACGTAACTAAAACAGGAAGAGCTCGTCAGAGAGAGACAGAGAAAAGACCTTCAATGGATTATGTGGGACCGGGCAGCCATGATGGTCCTGAAATTGGATCAAATTCCTAGCGCTCCACTTCTTCTCTTGTTTTCTCGAAATTCCAAAATCTCTTGGCCTGCGACCTCGCATCGGCAGCCTGACAACCTAGCCATTTTCCAAATTAGCAATTCCACCGTTACGGCCGGAGGTGGGAACTGGCTTTCAGGCAGCCCGCCCGGCGAGTCCGTTTACTAATGTGCCTGTATAGTCAGCCTAGAACTTTTTCGGATTATATGTTTAAGAGGCGTCGATGTGTTATATCTAACAATGTCGACTCGATACCTATCGGCCTCTCCTTTACAAAAAAAGTGCGTAAAGACTTGTCCTCGACGCCGGATTCGATACGAAGTCACATGTCCCAATCTTGCAATGTAGCTCATGGTTCCCCCCCGGCGTGGAAATTATTCAAAGCGATGACGCCTCGTTTGACATCCTGGATGAACATCACCAGTCAACATTGCTAATGGGTAGCAGTCCAGGGGTGTGGCGTCTGCAAACGGGGCCGAGTCTGGCCTGCACCCGGTTTGTCATTCCCTTTGTTATGAACGCCAGGCGCAAGCAAACAGATATAAGATCACGGCACCCGATGTATCGCCAATCTCACAGCATGGCTTTCCTCTCCACGGAAGTTGACACCAGCTGGCTAGCGGCCATGTACCCCAGGGTTTGCACGTATGGGTGACAGGCAAACGAGAGACCCACGACGGCGCCGAAGGCGAACAAACCGTAAACGGACCAGCGTCGATAATGGGACTTGTACGACGTGTTCGTTACCCGTGGGACAATGGGCCGCACGACGTCGATTGCCTAGATTACTGGATAACATTCAACACTCAGTTCTGGATCGTTGGGCCGGACAGTCCTTCAGTGACTGTTTCATGACTGCAATGGAGCGCCATGGATTCGATGCGTTGCCTCGAGGACAAGGCCAGAATGCCATAGTGCAAACTTTGGAGGCCGATTATTGATTGTCGGCGAGTGTGAACTACCCCAACTCAGACCGACAAATTCTTGTGGTGGTCATGCTGTGGACCGGTCAGCGCGTCCAAAACCCAGATGCATGATCTGGATCACCAGTTGGTATGGAACCAGTTACCCGGTAGCCGGTTGCTGATACAGCATACCAGTACGTCATTTGCGAAGGCTTGACCCAGCTCATAAGCGCAATTCGCATTCTTGCTGTGCTCGCGATCAGACGACCGCCGTCAGTGGTGCCTCCGTGGGTGATATACAGATTAGGCGGAACTGGCAGGATGGAATGAGGGGGATAGGTTCTGATACCAGTTCGCGGTTTATGGTTGTCATTTCAACGCTCATCCGGGGACACGGCCAGAGAGATTCATGTCGCCAGTCTCATATGAGATTGCAACTGGCAGTCACTGGAGTCGCTCGCATCGAACTTTTCACACAAAGCCAGTGACAACCCTCCAATTTCACGTGATTGCGCGATCGAATCGATGACGTCCTCGGTGGACTACACTAGTGTCATGCATTGACATTACACTATGTACACTACACGTCGTCCGGATTGCGCACATCACTTGAGAACATGGCGCTGACATTGTGAAGTCTGGCAGAGTGATAACTGGTAGTGTACAATGAGCATCGGATCCAGAGGAACGGAATTCGAAGACACGGACCAGCCAAATCCAACGAGACCAACTCGAAACTGGAACGAACCAAGGGACAGATCCCAACCAACAATCGACATGCAAAATCTAGCTGAGAAGTGGAAGCTTGCCGCGAACGTGCCTTCCCAACACGTGCAGTAACGTCACGATCAACAGCCAAGTGGGCCTTGATCCAAGCGCCCTCTTCTTTGTATTCTTTCAACCACTCGGAAGGTCAGATTTGGTAATGTCGACCCACATCCAAAGCTGCGCAGGACGTGCTGCTGGTGATGCACAAGCCAGAGAAAGGTCAGAGCGTCGGCTCGAGCAGCTCCCCCTCTTGGCGCTGCGAGACTGCATGCAGCTTCCTGCAACGCGTGCAGCGCCCCGTCCCCCTCCCCCACCACCTCACGCAGGCGGAGCAACCCCCGTCTTTTCGTTTCTTCATTGTACACTATGGAAGCGTCCAGCACCGCCTATCAACCGGGGCGTTCTACCGCCAGACTACCTCGAGGTGATGGCGGGACAATAGAGCTTCTCCCTTCCAACAATTTTTTCGGATCACCGCTCCTCTCTTTTTGAGGTTATCTGATATTACATACTACGATGGTCCGCCATCAACTTTTTACTCCGTCGTTGGTGATGTTGTTGTTGATGCTGGGGTATTATGGGGCCTCAATTCCTCAGCTGGGAAAGAAGAGCCTTTGACTTCAACCACAAAGCTGGCAGCGAGGTGTACGTGGAAATCTGGTTCCTAGTAAAAGGTCCGTCTCCAGTAAACCGGGAAAAAAGTGGAAGCTCAAAACTCTCCTTCCCTTGCCTACAGTATCCGCCCTCTCAAGAGTCTCACCAAGTCTCACCTTCTCTTGTTCTCGCAACTGCCAGCAGCATCCTCTCTCGTTGTCGCCCAAAAAAAAAAGCTTTCGAGGTTCTCCGCACGCGTTCCCCTTTTCCCTTCTTCCCGCTGTCTCTAGCGCTGCCTGTACTTTGCATGTAACACTACTGGGCAGAAGTACCGTCATAGTAGCGTAGCTAAAAGGTAGGTACTTGCTAAGCCATAATCCCCAGGTTCAGAGACCAGTTGGCTACCAGGGTACGTAATAAGGTACAGTACGTAGCTCTCGTGGGCTGGCCGCGGCCGGTGTTAGTGTAGTTGGAGGCTTGGAGCTTCCCCCAGTTCCCCAGTCAGAGTTCCCCCAACTGGGTGGGTGTCTCTGCTTACCCTAGGCTCTTTACACTTCCACTTCTCTCTCTCTCTCTCTCTTCGGACGCTTTTTGCTTTGCCGCCCACCACCACCCACCACCCCCAGCCTTCTTTCCCCCAGATCTTTTTTCTCTCTCCCTCCCTCCGTCTTTCCTCTTTCTTCTCTCTTTTCTCCATTTCCGCTACTTTTCACACGCGTTTTTACCGCCTCGGTCGCGATTTTGCGAGTCTCTCCGATATCGCGTTACCTACTTAATTCAACAAGTTTCACAATGTCTGCCACCCGCAAGAGAAAGCCTGAAGAGGAGCCCGAAGAGCTCGTTTCCCTCCCTGAAGATTCTGACGGCGAGGAGGAAGAGGAGTAAGTACTACCCGCTGTTTTTACCTCGAGCTTCATCTGTTCCTTGTTTCTTCGTGATCGTTTTGCGATGTGCCTCGGCAACAAGAACACGCGTTGGTGACGGAGCTTTGCTGCCTTTGCGCATTGCGGCGCCAATGCTTTTTTGTGTTGCTAGTTGAATCGCCAATCGTATATTGGTGTGGATTGCGATCACCCGATACTTCAAGAGGCGGCGCCATCACTTTCAGTGGGTAAACAAAGACAGGCAAAAAACATGCATATGAATATGCCTTTCATCCAAGCTTAGATAGCTAACGATTGGCCTCCCTCAGGTATGTCTCCACTGGCGATGAGGAAGAGGATGTTGATGACGACGAAGAAGATGAGGAATACGACGGCGAGGAAGGAGGCGAAGATGAAGAGGAAGAGGAAGAGGAGACCACAGGTAAGCCACTGCAGCCCTGCCCACTTTGCCCCTGTTAGCTAGTCTTGGACAAATATAACTGACAAAACTGACCTTCCAGACAAAGCCCCTCCCAAGAAGAAGCTAAAGACGGCAGCTGCCGAAGACGAGGAGGAAGAGGAACAAGACGAGGAGGAGGAGGAGGAGGGTGACGAAGAGGATGAGGACGAGGAGGAGATTCCCGAAGAAGAGGAAGAAGATGATGATGCTGAGGCCGAGGCCGAAGAGGGCAGCCCCAAGAAGGCTCAGCGTTCAGCCTCCAAGGCCGTGGACGAGGATGACGACGAGGAGGAGGCTGATGCCGCCAAGGCTGCTGCTGGTGGTGATGATGAGGAGTAAGGGGGCTCATTACCTCCCTCTCTCCTTAGTTTCACGGCCACGGCCTTCTTTGGCCTTTCCTGTTTCCTTCAACCTCATTGTCATTGCTTGAGTTACTTGGCTTAGGAGTCATCTTGGATCTGGTGCTTTTTGGATATGGATTTGATAGGCGACTGCTTAGAGATGAAAAACACGAATAATGATGGCTTCAGGGTTTGGTTGATCGATGGACGTGAAGTGCATATCAATCGCGAGAAGATAAATAAGATACTTCTGGGGCCAAGTTATGTAGTGCGACATCAATACATCTCAAGCATGACATCTACTCAAAGGACTAGACGTATATACCTTGCTCAAATCGGACCCGCTCCATGCGTTCGTTGACTGGATCTGTCGTCACATTAAACATTTCCAGGAACAAGAACCCAATTCTCTCAGTGTCCAATCAATAGGTAGCTGAACCGAACAGGCACCTTGGACCGATCCCGATCCCGGTCCCCCACATCCGTAAGGTACCGAACAAATGGTGTGCATGACACTCGACACTCATTCTGATTGACCACTGGATCGTTTTGATTCGTCTTTGTGTGCGCATATGGAATCGGGGCATTGGAGGGCAGTCCCTCGGTCCGGGTGCAAATGTCAGAGGTCCAAAGCTGGAATTGAAATAGCGGGAGATACGTATACTTACTTGGTCGTGAGTCTCGCAAGCTGAGGCGTGTAGGTTGAAGTTCGTTTTATTCTGATCTGCTTCAATGTCCTACGTACACTACAAGAAGTCTTGGAAAAATTCAAACTAGAACAAGTCACTCGTTTTTTTATCCAGAAGCTGGATATTTAGTACTTGGAAAGTGTTTTCATTAATATGGCTAGTATTGATGTATTTCTTGTAACTCACATAAGGTGCAGGACCGTCGGTTAATGTGTTGTGTACCACTGGACTAGCCATGCCCTCCTTCCCTTTTACTCTTTTCCTTTTGTTTATAAGTCGGTTATCGTCAGACAATGCTGTCTTCCTATTCATTTTAATATATGTTCAGACAAATCCTCTGCCCTATTTTACATAATCCTAGCATATATATTGTGTTCCAAACGCTTTTAGTGTCGTGACTTACCATGCGTGTATTTCCCCGGTGCAAACAATGCCTCATGATTTCCCCTCCTTTTTTTTTTTTTTCTTTTCGACTGTCTTTTTACCACTTCGCAACCCAGCATCATTGACCTTCCCTATTCGCATTCCCATACTCATCCCAGATCTTCCTCAACTGCTTCCTCTCCGCCGCCAGTCGCTTGTGCTCGTTCTCCAATGTCTGAATGTACATCCTTGCGCGGTCAAGGACCTCAGACTTGCTCACTCGGCGTTCCTTGTCCGGAATGTCCAGCTCAGCCATATCGGTAAGTCTTTTCAGTGGCTGTATCTGCTCTGTGGTTTCGGCTTCGAACCCTTGCTCACCGGACAGGGCGACCGAGGGAGGGAGGACGTCCAAAAGCGCTTCGAAGTGGGCGTTGAGTCGGTTACGGTACTTTTGTTCTACCTTGTTGTGCTTGACGCGGGCGATTTCCTGCCGGGGACTCGCTGTATGTGCTGTGTCGAGGTCCAAATCATGCCCAGTGACGGAATAGCTCCTGTTGCTGTTGTTGTCATGGTCCAACACCATGTCCGTGTCACCGTCACAGGTCCCGGCTTCCCATGCTTGCTCCACATACAAGGCTCTTCTACTCGTTATCTTTTCCAAGCTGACCCCCTTGTGTGATTGTTGAACTGGTTGTTGTTGTTGCTGTTGTTGCTGCTTCCTTTTCTTGTTGCTCTTGTTGTCTTCCTTTCGCCCCCTTTCTTTGCCTTTTGGGTTCATCAAACTTCCAGCAACATCTTCCTGCACCCATAACAGCGAGGACGGGCGGCTAGCCGTCAAGCTTCGATTGACAGCAGCTGAGAGTTTCATGCCGGCTGACGACGGGCTATGTGCTGATTCTGCGTCTTCAAGCTTGCTGCTAACCAATTGTCCGTCCTCTGTCTGTGCCAGTCGGTGTCGCCGTCTCTTTCTAAGCTTCTCCTTGTTCTTCGCAGCACCTAATTTCCCTGTTAATGCTGCCTGGCTTCGCCAAAAAGCGTTTGTATAGGTAGTGGTCATGTTCTGATCGATGTATTTGTGTTCCCCATTATAATCTCCACCCAATACAGGCTTCAATATGTCGGGTAGCGATTGCAAAGATAGTCCCGCAGTGGTTGGGCTTTCGTACTGCATTTCGTCGGCCACGTAGGGGGGCCATGCAGTGTACGTTTGGTTGCAAGTCGGCCATGTATCAGAAGGGAATGAACTGGCAGTAACGACATCTGCTGAAAAAGCTGTAACAGGGGAGGTAAGAGAGCCCAGCAGATAGGCTGAGTGAGGTGTAACCGGTATCGAGCCGGACACAGTGAGTGCTGAGGTGGACAGTGTCAGCCCTACGGATCTAGTTCCATCCGAGAAGCTGCTTGAGCGGAGACAGTGTGGTATATGATGATCCGCATATACGCCATGAGATCCGGACGGGGTGTGTTGTATCGGCGTACAGTTGGTTCTTGAATCTGCGTAGTTGTCTGTTTGCAATTGTAGAGTAACCGCGGGGGTTGAGAAGTCAGAATGAGTAAGTTGTTGGTAGTCTAAACAAGCATAGCCGGAGATGTACGGGTCATGAGGGTGATTGCATGGTATGCTCGGATGGGTCGATGGCTGTCATACTGTCAGTTGAGATAATTCAAAGGTTACCAGAAATTAAAGTGTGAACTGCTGGCAGTGGTCCGATTCTTGGCTTAATAGCAGCGGGTAGATTCTGGGCGCGATGGCAGATCATATCTGAGTATCCCGGCAATATCAGGCCATGATTTCGGAAAACATGCCACTCTGAGCCACGGTTATCACATTTCTTCGGCGATAAGCTTTGGACAGACATGGACAAGCAGATCCCCCGTGGTACAGGGCCGTGTTCGGGTATAACTCGTGGGAAAGGAGCACGAACAAAGAAACTGTGCGACTGATACTTACTTGTATATCATCATAGAAAGGTCGACGATCACTGTCCAAAGGTTGCATTGTTTAGCGGATGAGTATCTTGCTATTGCCTCAAACATGGGAGTCCAGAGATGCCAGGATCAAGGCAAGACACTCTCTGGCTCTGGCGATCATGTTCTCTGATACTTATAGCTCCAGAACTCTGTTCTGTTTCACAACGAGAAGGGGCCATAATATTGACTGCCGGTTTTCTGCAGAGGTGTTTGCAAGGATAGCGCGTTTTCTGATTTGGAGGTACTAGAGGCAACTATGTTACAAGTTTGCCGACGGAACGAGACGCCATCTCAGGATTGGGACACCTGACGAGGCTACCGTAAAGAATGGGAGAGTCACTGTACCATTGTGCCCAAACAGAAACAGGACGAGAATAGCCCATCTCGGAAATTCGGGGGATTCCATTCGGAAAAGAGTGTATGCGTGGGTTTCCGTCTCAATAACTGAATGTCGGTAGACAGGGGGCGGCTATGCCCGGCTCCGCGCTGTTGGCTGCTCGAGTCTTCTGTATGCGGTCGGTTCGACATGGGTGATGGGTTTGAGGTTGTCCTTTCGATGATCCTTTGATCATTCGTCGTTCTCGATGAGCCTAAGACACGATCCTATCTTTGCAGCCGCATATTCATCGATCGTGAGTTCCCGAAGTCTCTGTATCCAATCGTGCGTCTCGAAGCCATCGAAAATCTCTTCCATTGCTAATTCCCCGTTAGCCCTAGCGCTACATACTTAGATGCGGGATTCTAAAAAAGGGTCTCCCATTCACCCGGGTACCGGTGCCCTCCGCCCTAGTGCGCGGTGGAGGAGTTACATTGCTTCCGAATCTACCTGGCTGTGGTTTGTTCCGTGGTTTTTGCTACTTTGTTCTTGAACATTGACCTGTCATTGGCCTGCCGAATGAAGACTTCGGGACATGTCATTCGATTTCGCCTTCAGAGTCACACCATACGGTAAGGGCCGTGGCGGACATCGGCGAGTGTGGCGTAGTGAGTTGGCCTGGAAATGCTTAGTTGCAAATCATATAGCTTCAAGGCTATTGAGGACCAGGCACAACATCTTCAGCCCCTGAAGATCAGGGAAGGACGAACATTGGCTGGAATAAAGTCCGCATGTGTTGAAAAGCCACTTTGGCTCGTTTTCGGTGCCAACTACCACGGTTGTAGACTGCTATGCGTCATGTCATCGAGATCCAACGTTGTCTGTAGAGTCGAAGTGTTTGCGGAAACAAATCGATACCTAGTTTTATGTTCTTTTCAATAATTTTCTCTCAGCTCCAGGCGTGTTGGATATCAGGTCTCCATCCATGTTGATATGAGTCGGTATAAGTTCGCACAATCAAATTGATACAGTTGTCGTCTCTCTTTTAGTATCAGATAAAGACACTACAGTCCTAAAACCTTGACCTTGCGTTAGTCCTCCGATCGTTTCTACATTAGGCTAACAACGGCGATACATGTCGAGTGAAGCAACAGACACATGGCAGACTTGTCAGTGCCACATAGCACAGCATGAACACATACTAGTAAAGCTAAAGAGTGGCCGTCGGTAGCTCTTGATTGTTTTGAGATTTAGCTTGTGAATCAATAAAGTGGTCTGATGGGATGACTGTCGGTACTTACCATGCTCCAAATGTTTGACATCTTTCTTTCCTGTCTCTTCGTTACTATAGAACAATGTTGGATAAGGCAGCTCCAAAAATGATGAGCCCGTGGTCGAGAGGGGTCGGGACGGAAGAGTGTCCCTTGCGTTTTCCGGTGCAATGTCTCCGGAGGGATGCTATTGTGTGTGGTAAATGCGGCTGGCTTGTGACTTGTGATGCATGCAGCGGTTGAAACGCATCGTTGATACGCTTCTCCCAGGGGAAAATGCCGTCCAGACAAGAGCTGACGAACTACTACTGCAGCTCTGGAAACAAACAAGTGGCTCGGAAAGTAGTCGAGACCCGTCATAGATCGAGATGCCCGTTGGATGGTCGGGTGGCTGCATAAAGTTTGGGACTTCTATTAGCAAGGCTCGAAGTTTATGCGCGGGATAAAATTCGGATGCTTTACACTGGTAGGTTCTTCCTTCCGCCACGCCGACTGCCAATTTCAGTGGGATTTCTGTGATCGCGTTCCAAGGTTCGACAGTGTGCGAATACAGAAAGAATCCGTTGCGGATGCTGCAGCTTGACCATTTGGGATAGAAGGCGCTGTCAAGAAGGCGTAAAATGACCACTAAAAGTTGGAAACCCGGAAATCCGGGCAAGAAGTGGAAAGGGAAGAGAAATGTGACTCTCAAACTTGTAGTTCGAAGTTAAACTCTTTGCACGAAGGCGCACCGCCGCGCAGTGTTAAGGACGGAAAAACAAGGCAGGCGCTCAATTTGGTAGTCCTTCAGTTGACACATATCGTTCCTTCCAAGTCATGGTTTTGCCTTTGGGAAGTGGTGCGGTGGTAGATAAGTCTTGACAGAAAGCAGGAGCAGTGGGGAGGGGGTTTGGGCAGCTGTGCCCCCAGAATGGAAAGGGACTACCCGTGCTTTCTACTTTAGTGTTCATCATCATTCAGTCATTCTATCCCCCCTCTCGCACGAATCCATAAAAGGAGATCCTATCAAGGATACTGACCCATCCCATCAAGTCACTTGCTCACATCCAACATATCATTCACGATCAGTTCAGATACTACTCCAACGTTCTGTACCCGACGACGGAGCCTGAGCAACAGATGAACCAGTATCCCAAGTCTCCTGGACAGTCCTCCAATGCTGCAATTGTACGTTCCTCCCACATCGAAATCTCTGTGTCCAGAACGTGCCAACCGTCATCCCGCCTCCTTCCTCTTCAAACTAGCCTTTGCTTTACCCCCAGTACTCCTTCCTCACCTAAGACAGCTTGTAAGTGTCAATAGCCTCATCAACGCTCCTCAAAAGGGGCACAGTCAAGCTCCTAGAAAAGTCCTGGACACGGAAGGCTGAGGGCCGCACACGACCCATGTTGTGTGTTGTGAAAGGCAACATTACTACATTATTTTATTCGTGTTGTAAAACATTATTTCATCCCCTAAATGCTTCGTGACCCATAGTAGGCCACATATTTCAGTTTCAATAGGGACTCCAATGTCCATCCGACGCGCCCCAGCGTCCTTTGAGCGATACTGTGCCGTCTCGAATGTCTCCAAACAATGAATATTTCATCAAATTGGAAGTCATTCGTATTATGAGAGGTAAGATATACCCTCACTCAAGCGTCTCCTTGAGTTTTGAGAACCGTCTATCAGCTCACTGAATATTGGCTAGACCACCTGGGAGCGTCAGCCGCGTCGTGAACACAATGGTGTATTAAACCTTAGTTCAAGTCGTCAAGTGGGGGCGTAGAGGTAGACAAGTGTCTCATAAAGTTGACGCTTGGTAGCCCTGCAGAGGCACAGCAGGTTGCTGTTGAGAGCCCTGCGGGACTGTTGAAGGTTGTTGCGCAATAGGTGCATAATAACCGCCATACATCATGTTTTGCTGGTCAGGAATCGAATGTTGTCCAGCTACCATATTGTGAGGTATTTGACCCATCTGCATTGGTACGGGTACTGGAACTCGGACATAGGTGATTCTTCGGGACTTGTTTGTCGCATTGACGGTGTGTGTTTCAACACAGGCTCGAACGAAGAGGAAGAAGTGGATGATCCAAAGAATGCTAGAGAACGCAAGCAGGGTTCGCATGAGGCCTGTTAGGAGGTTGGGTATAACAGGTTCATCGTAGTAGTCTCTCGTGAATTCGTAGACGAAGACGCCACCAATGCTGACCCCCAAGGAAGCCACAAGGACAATGATCAGTTGAACACCGACATGAGCTCCGGGATGAATGCCTCGACGTCCTTTGGAGGCATACAATACTAGGAACTCAGCCACGGTCCATAAAATTGCCAGTCCAGCCTAGAGAGCATTAGTTATCATATGGCCATGTACAAAGATACGATGTCGAATGAGTATAGTTAATAAGGGTAGGACATACTGCCGAGGCATCAATGGCAAAAACGGGGTCTATTTCCCACCAGCGGTAATCCTCCGATTGCTCACCATAGACGCCCAGTGCCAGGCCAATTCCAAAAATGACGGCAGAGCACACAAGAGATGCGGTTTGGAAAGCCAATTTCACAACGTGCCATTTCTTGCTGTAGGCAATTTCCGAACCAGGAATCCGCAGAGGCAAAGGTTGGTATGTGCCAGTGCCATATCCAAACGGTACTGGCGCCTGTTGCTGCTGGAAAACCGCACCATTCTTGTCCTTGGTGACTGAATGAGGCAGGAGTGGTGCTCCTTGCATGGCTGTGCTTCCATCATTATCGGTTCGTTCCTGTGCAACATGCGTGCTGCTGGACGGTCCGGCTGCGGTCATTTTGTTCCTTTGTTTGACCAAGTTTGGGATAACGTTATCGAGATATTAGTAGTGATTCAGTTGACCGGTGATTAAGCGCGAAAAGAGCGAACGGCGTGACGACGACACAGATGATGTTGCGACAGGAAGTCTGATGATTGAACGAGAGAGTGTGCGCAGAGTGCACAGGAAGTCGTGAAAACAACGAGCGACAGTCGACAAACCGGCGGTGGCGTGCCAAAGAAAGAAAAAGGGAGGAATGAGATTTTCTAGATTGCAGTGCAAAGGGCTAGACGCAGGCTCCCATTGACTTTGGCGTACCTTGAAGTTGCAAACCTCAAGGTCTCTTTTACAACCCTATCGCATAAGGGTTTAGCGGCGTCTTGGCGTCTGGATGGCGAATCAGGCGGCGTGGCTGCCTAAAGGTCGGCTCATTGCCGGCATTGTTGGTCCTTCGCTACGGCGGGCAGCTCAGGGCAGGCACTTGGCTCCCGGCCCTAACTCTCTCGACAGACAAAGAGTTCCTGTCTAGCATGGAATGGCAATCGATGATAGGAAAGCGGGCCATAAAGAGATAGGTAGGTACCTAGGTACATAAGTAGCGGGTCAATATGGAATCATAAGCCATTTGACTTTGAGAAGGTGTAAGCTCACCTCTTTCCATTTATCTTCTTCGCCTTGGGACTTTCAACGGTAAAAGATGGTGAAAGGTACATGTAAAAGTCACAAGTCCAAATAATAAGCAAGAAAACAAAGGTAGCATCGATCGTTGTTCGAGAAGGGAATTATGCTATAATCAAACTTGGCTATTCACGCTGCAAAACCACCACCAAACCCATCAGTCCGAGCATGACAGTCTTGAGCCATGGGTGCTCGGATAAGAGAATGGTGACATAGCCGACAAAAGGAATGTAGGCAAAAACGCTCCTGTTTAAGACGATGTTAGCGGAATAATTGAAACGTCCTGGTACAAGCGAAAACAAATCATCATACCCGATAATGTCTTTTCTAACCAGGTAATCCTGTCCACTTGCGTAGAGCTCTGTGTCGTCCGAGACGTTGTTATCTCCCTTTGTGAGCAGTTTCGCTTCAGGTCTTCGAAATAGGCAGTCCTATGGTCAGCTGTATGTCCGGGGCAGCGCAAGGGGTGTAGCAGATGGAAAACGAACCCCTTTCCAAATTTCCTGACTATCCTGTGCACGATGGGGATATCCTTGCCCTTCACATTGTACACAACAATCTCCCCAACGCTGGTTTCGGCCAACACATTGCGGTTCCACAAGAATAAGAGGTCGCCGCGCTGAAAGGCCGGCTCCATGCTACCGGACAGGACGACGACAATCGGGGACGGGGAATCTGTGATAACCGAAATACCTTTCCACATCTGCGACATGGAAGCTGGTTAGCACGCCATTGATGAAGCTAAGCAAAGGCAAGTTACATAGCGGAGGGAGCTCTGGACAGGAACACACCATGAATGCAGTTGACAGGATCAGGCCAAAGTTCATAAGCTGGACGGCAGCTTGCCGCGGGTTTGCGAGGCCTGACAACATGGCGACGGCGGAAGAGCAGAAGCGATCGATGTCTGTTGTTGTGTGGATTGACGCGGCGCCGCAAGGTTCCTGCGAAAGTTCGGAGTGGCTGCTTCCCTGAATGGGTCGGATCGGTGTTGTTGACTTTTGCTGTACAGGTACTGGCGCCGTTGTAGTTGACAATTGACATCAGAGCCAGGCACAGCGGGAGCGGACACGGTGACAAGAAAGCCGCAAAATGGTTGCTTCTGATTGGTGGATGTAGAGAGAGGAGACCCACTCAGTTCCATCTCGAACGGCCCACAAGACATCAAGGTGCCTGCCCTGCACTTCATCATTGCAACAACCTCGACCTCAACTTCAACCACAACAACCTCAACCTCAACTTCAACCGCAACAACCTCAACAATATATCCTTTCTCTCAACCATGCATCATGGTAGATACCTTGAATAAAAAAAACTCGGAGAATATGACGCTCAGATTATTGACCTTTAAATGGATGTTTTTCACAGTGCTATCGTCATTCTTCCCAGTGGAAGCTCTTTATGAATTGGAAAAGACCGAAATCCGACCAAAAGACCATCGCTCCTACTTTTTCGTCCAGCTAGGTGTTTGAGAACTCGATACGATATTTTCCCCTGTAGTCCGTCGTTTCCTCGGAAGAAAAAGGACAACCAGACTTCACCCAACCGAATGGTCATGACCATCTGGATCGGATTCTCTCCGTTATTGTAGCGAAGGTTAGCTCTTTCTACCTCTTTTTTTGACAATGTGCTTTCTGTTTCGACCGCTTCTACCTAGAGGTAGGATGATATTCCATTTTTTGATTCAAGGTCCGGTAATGGAGCTGTGCCAGACGGGCTGCACGTCGCTGCCTTCATGTTCATTAGGTTGCTTTTGACTCATGGAAGGAAGTATTCTAGACAGTGCCAAAGAAACTGGCAGAGAACGCATTCCATTCTTTGCCTTGGTCATCATAGTTTTCTTTTTTTGATCTATCGTCTTTTATCGAAAGCGGCTGGCGTTCTTCACTCGCCTGTTCCTCAATATCTCCCGATTTTCACCTCTGACGACCAGTTCTCTCTTGCTCATCAACATGTCGACTGGCAACGAGGCAACGGAACGAAGCTCCCTCCTGGGCCGTGATCTTCCGCGACCGAATGGAGTTGTCCAGGACCATGTACGTTGCAAGGCCATTCGTTGCGCACATCATCTTGGATCGTACTGACAGTTTATATTTAGCCAATCTTTCTTCGTGTATGCCACGCGCCATGGGGCTTCATCAACCAGACCACTCTTGTTGTCCTCAGGGGCCTGATTCTGATCTACCTCACCATTCTTGCACCCATGCTTCTTGACTACAAACTCTACAAGCGGCAAGACGGCGACTCTCCTTGGCGCATTGCCTTCCAATTTTCGACCATTGCCTTCATTCTGTTGTGGCTCTATCACTTGCTCGCCTTTGTATGGCCCCCCTGTCTCTCCACCGGTAGTTTGACTTGTTGGTACTAATTCCGGGCTTTTTGGTTTAGTGCTGGAGCTACACGCACCTCTATTATCCCGATATCGATGAGGAGCACAACACATGGGAGTCGGCTCTGCTTCGCAAAATGTCACCGCCCGAACAAACAATCACTTCGCGCAACCGACTTTACTTCAGTTTGTATTACACAGTGTCCCACGTATTTGCCTTTATGAACACCTTCATCTTCTGGGCCTTTGTAGTGCCGAAGGGTCACGGCGAGTTACCCAAAGAAAGGCAAAGGGGCAGCGGCGATGATGCAGGGAGCCTCGTGGGTATGTTCCCATTGAGTCTCGACATTCTCCTTAAAATTGCGCTAACGAGACTAGCCGGTGATTTCTTTAGCCATGGATGGTTTGAACCTTTCTGTGTTCTTAACCTATGGGGTTATACATCACTCCTCGCTCTCTTTGAGATCATGTTTCTGAACAGCATCAAACGCCAGATCGTAAGTTGTCGAGTTTCTGGAGCAGGTCTTGATGTCATGACAGGAAGACTAATAAGTTTCATAGCCTGTGCACACCCACATCATTGGCTTGGTAGTCCTGCTGTGTGCCTACCTTGGCTGGGCTGCCTTTGGGAAGCTCTTCATCGGCCGTGCTCCTTACTTCTGGCTGGACCCTGAGATTGTTAGGTACAGAGAACTCATGTTTGGATACTGCGCCTTGTTCGTGGCTCTGGGACCTGCATGTAAGTCTCATCTGCTTCTCCGGCTAGGTGACAATAGCATCGTGCTGACCGCAATCGCTTTCGATAGTCTTTGCTTTTATGTATGGCCTTATTAGCCTGCGTGAAGAACTGGCAGAGAAATACGGCAGCCCAAGCCAGGACGCCACCCCAGATGGCTCGCAGCAGGGAGACCAGGAGTGAGATGGATAGGTTGGTTCGTGTTCTGATGAGAGGGGGCTTGCCATAGAACACGTCTGCATGCAATGGCATGCCTTCACATGATTCTGCCGCCCTTATTTTCTTTTAGCCTTGTTTTATCATCACTTTAACAGCTACTGGAACAGGCTCCTCTTTGCCGGCGATGCTGTCCCCCCTATTCGACGACTGCCCCTCAAAGCCACGTATATAGCCTAGAAGAGCATCAAATTTTCACATACGTTGAGAAGGATTATCCCGTGATCGAGTCATCACCCTTTCCAAATAGAAGGCATCACAATCTTGAAAACTAAGCGTTGGAATGGCCCCTAGCTGTGGGACTGACACCAAAATTCCCAAACCTACCTACCCCCCTGACCCCCTGCTTCCACGCAGCCGTAGCGGAGCCGCGGAGCTTTGTTTCACAAGGCCCCACTGTAGCGTCCCATGGCCGTGGATCTGTGCGGGGTTGAGATGACGGGCCCCTTGCCCGACTGAAGATTGGTGAGATCGATATCTGCGCGTTTTCCATGCCAACAAAAGCAACATCGATTGACGTCTTCAAATTGACAGTCGCAAAGAGAAGATGTGCTGTCATCTGGTCCCCAAGTGTATGTATCTTGAAGAACAGAAGCAGGCGACGTATATACCACGGGCCGACGACGGATTGGGCGAAACTCGACCCTTCTTCAGCCATTGGATGAACCATTTAAGCTCAGGCCAGGGCAGACTGGACGGAGGCCGCCTCGTCTGTTGACGTCGATGGACAGCTCAGCATTCATTTCGTTCAATCCGTCTTTACCATTGGAACTATCCCACATATCCATCGCAAGGCGAACCAAACTACCTACGCCATATTGCAGAGGGAAAGGAGGAAGTTGAAGCATGCAACCATCACCGGAAGCGCCATCGTGCACACCCTCAGCATGCATCAAGGCAGGCTGCAACATGCAGTCAATACAACCAACCACACGTCGTCTGAGCGCGGTGAATGGACGACAAGTCGATTTCCAGAACATGGCCCCTGTCTCTGGACAACGAACCACGATACTGACGGTTCTGGGTTTGCCAATTGTTGTTGGACGGATGTTCAACAAAACCCCTGCCAATTCAACCCAGGAGGATGGGTATCTACGTACAACCGCCGTCCCCGCCCTGCTTTTTGTTGGCTTCCCATCAATCCGGCATCACGCCTTTACATGGGCCGCAAGGCTGTTAACGGTATAAGTATCCCGCCCACCCCTCCCTTACCACACTTCTTTTCCTGGTTCTTACTCCCTGTCCCCCCAACACACAACCAAAGGGCTGCAAAGTGTTTGCTGGTGTTGTCTCGAGGTTCATTCGGTAGAGATAGCACCGCCTGGGCCCTGTCAATCCTTCTTTTGTGCTTCCCTCCCTCCTTTTCTCCCTCTTTTTTCTATTCTCCGGTTCTTCGTCTCTTTCGTCGCTCTCTTGGATCTAAGCTTCCTCCTGGATATCCGTCAACCCCGCTACCATTTCCCGGTTCATCTTTCCCAAGACCACCACCATGTTCAAGCGCTCGTTCCGATCCCGCGATGCGGGCAACTCTCAGAGGGAGCCTACCCAGATATCAACCAGTACAGATTCGCAACATCGGGTGGACAAGTCTGCAAGACTTATGAAGAAATCGAAACGGGATCTCCAGAAGCTATCGAACCTCAAGCAGCCGCTCGTGGGCGAAAACTCTTCGCGCACACAGCCACAGTCGACGCAAGCGAAGCCAGCCGAGAAGCCACTCGCCATTACCCCCTCCCCCATCATCACCATCACCGTGGGCGGCGAAGGGCGATTGTTTGCTGCGCATGAAGATATCCTGTGCCAGGCTCCTCTCTTCGAAAGAATGCTTGCGCAATCCAAGAGGATTTTGCTCGAGGATGAAGAGCCAGAGGTCTTCAGCGCCATCCTCGAATACCTCTACAAGGGCGACTACTACCCCCGTCTCCTACACAACCAGCAGCAGGACTCTTGGGAACTCGAGGACTCTCTTTCTATCCCCGCCAATCGGGCCGCGCCCCTTACACCCCCGACAGGCAACAACTCACCACAACTCGGAGGTGGCTACGCGGGTCAGTTCCCCATCGAGCCGACCGTGTTTCTCTCCAGCCTGAACCAATACTTGCTCCGCGACACGGTGGTCTACTGCGCCGCAGAGCGTTACGGGCTGGAGGAACTTAAGAGGCTGGCGCTGCGGAAGCAAGGGCTGCAGACTGGTATCGACGTCGGCACCATCCTTCGTAGCGCGCAGTATTGCTACGCGCACACGCCCGACTCCGACAGTCGCCTGCGCGCCCATTATCTGGCACTCATCATCCGCTGCCGCAAGACCTTCAAGCGCAGCGGCACGATGCAGGCCGAAATGGAAAAGTGCGGCAGCAGCAGCGTGTATGGACATGGTAGTGGGAAACTCTTCTTCGACCTGTTCATTGCCATGTGTAATCACCTCGACGACGTCATTGACGCGAGCAATGCGACGCGGACGCCCAAGACTATCTAGAAGGATGGTCCTACGCATGGTGTACGATTAGGTTTTCGGGTTTACTTCACCAGTCACGTTGTTTCACCATCTCACGATACCCAACGATAATTTTTGCCTTCATTTATTTTTGCCCGCATGGCCTCTCAACTGACTGGAGTTCGGGATCGATATTGAATGACAACCTTTGAGGGAGGATGCTTTGGTCATTCCCTTGTGTCACAAACAACACTGGCTTATAACAACAGACAAAAATCGCAACTCAGACTGATACCACATCGGGGAGGCATTAACTTGTTCTTTCTCCGACATGCGTATACGGCGCTCGCAACTCAATCCTTCTTTTTTTCTTTTTGCCTATCCCTCGGACAGATAATGCATACACAACCTCATGGACAAATCCCCTGGTTGGGTGATCAAACAGTGTCTCAAGGCCGTCTGGTTTGTATAGTTTGCTTTTACATGGGAGAGACTTGTTAGCTGTACGAGCAAGGGATCACTCGCTCACTCATATTCGCGAAACGGTCGCTTTAATTAGCAGACTAGCCAAGACATCTTCGTGATGATGTATAGTAATGACTCTTATCATGATGACACACACAGCTAGGGAAAAACAATGGTAATACTCAATTCCATAGCTGCGTTAGAGAGCTAGTAAGCCCTCTCCTCGCTTGAAGAACTACGTAATGGAACCACCTCCCACATATATTTCTGTCTCTGTTCGCCAAACGAAAAGTGACTGACAGTGACATCCACTTTGGGTCAACCTCAACCGTCCTATTCCTTAGCCCACTTGACCTCCCACCCCTTAACCTTCACCACCAACTCCTTCTCGTCCCCATCCTTAACCTCCTTCTCCGGTCTCGCCGCCATAGCCACCACCTCCAAATCCCACTCCTCCACCCCTGGGTTCGTCAGCCCATAAACCCAGCAAATCTCCCGCAACGCCGTCCTGCTCTTTTCCTCTCCCGTTTTCTCATCCACCACAATCCTATACACCCAAATACTCTTTCCATGCTCGTCGCCCGACTGTTCCACCAAGATGGTCGTCCACTGCTCTGTCTCTGCTCCTGAAGAAGAGGAAGGAGAGGAAAGAAGAGGAGTAACGCTCCAATCAGCCCAATTATCCGTGGCTACTGTGCTCAGTTGCGGTTGTGATTGGTAAAATTCGATGCCGGTTTTGATCCATTTGGGCGGGATTTCCTTCTTCCTCTCGGATTCCGAAGTAGCAGAGGGAGTTGAAGAAGAAGAAGAAGGGTGGCGAGGACGAAAGGCGAGGAGGATCCCAGCTTGGTCGTAGCGCTCGCGCCAGGGGAAAGAGAAGGAGGCGCGGACGGAGAGGAAGGAGGTTAGAGGGCCGGTGGAGCGGGTGGAGGGGGGAATGGCGGTTGGTGCTAGGTAGGGTTAGTGATGGTTGTATAGCGGAGGTAAGAAATGGATGTAAGTGGGGGGTTAAGAGTAGGTTATATATACCATTGTAGATGTTGGTTGTGGGTGGTTTACGCCAGATGTCGGTGCCGGGGGCGGCGCGGATGGTGAAGATATCGGAGGTCTTGGCGGACATTTTGTTTGAATTGTAGAGTGAGGTAGTGGGAAATATGGCTATGAAGTGTGTAGACGATGTTGGTGATGTGGGAGTTGTGTTCTTCACTTTGGACTCACCTTCTCTGATCGAGGTGTCTTGATACCTTTTATACACGTAGAGAAGGCACCAGCAGAGGTGACGACTTTTTCAGCTCGGGCTTTACAGTTTCTATTACGCAAGATCTTCAGAGACGGAGGACCTAATCCTTTGGTCCGTCGCCAGAATCCGGAGATCAGCCGACCATGATGGCGTGCGCGAGTGAGAAGAATAGCGTTGGCTTGACTGTGAGACTGGGTTGCAGTGAGGGGCTGCGCGAGTTCACGATGGATCAGAGTCAGCTATTCCATGCACATAAGATCTGTGTCATTGGTATATGTGTCTTGCTTGGCTTCCCTAGTGTTTCGTATTTCTGTCTGGACGGCGTTGGAGCATGATATGGATAAGTAAGACGAAGGTAGAGCGGCCCGGTTATCCTAAGACTACGGGAAAACTCCGGGAGAACTTGCATTCACAATGGCCATTTCGCGTCTGTGATTTGCCCAACGCTCTTTCGCATCCAGCCAGACCAAAGGTCTTTAGATGGGGAAGTGACTAGACATGAGCTGTAATGCACGGCTTTTGTCGTTCCCGAATTTAACCTTGAATGTTGCTATCGTCAATGTAGACTATTGCTTCTCGTTTCTAATGAACAGAGGAAGTCATCACGAGCAAGGGAACAAGACCGTAACATAAAGCTGCAGCGATCATTTTGGACACAATACACAGGAAAGCGTACCTGAAACAGAGCCATATGTGAGCAATGTGTCAGCGGAGGAGAGCAAGCGAGGCAGGAGTGACGACAGTGCGGTGAATTGTGAATTGCAAGTGAATGGGAAAAAAAGAATTGAACAAGACCTCAAATCGAACTGACGGCCTTTTGCTCAAGAGACCCACCGGGCACAGATCATGATGCAGTCTGTGCATATGCGAGTTTTGAGTCTGCGTCTCACCCCGCTCGACCATGCGGACACAACTTTTTCAAACCGCTCAGTTCATTTCGACCTCGCAACTTTCTCCGTCACCAGTATCACCACCCGGCCAGGAACTAGCCCATCTTCGCACCAATCGTCTTACACCCCTTTCACCACCAGGGTCTGGATACTCCTTCAAGGGGCCCGACATATGTCAACATCACCAATATCGGCTTCCATCAAAACCGTCAATTGCTGCTCACCTAGGTCGTACCCCTGCTCGAAACCTTTCCAGGTGGGGGACGAGACAAGTGCCCCACTGCAATTCACTTGGGATTCAACAACGCGTCGCTTTCAACCCACGCTCAGCACTTCTCCAGAACAACACTGGCCAACATCACGCCTCCCATCAACCATCGGTTTTTCCATTGCACAGCTCATTTGCCTACTCTATTTTCAGGCATCGGTTCCCTTGCTCTAAGAAACTTTGGTGACATAGAAAACATCATAAAAAGACGACAACGAACAAGGCAAACAGCAAACTAGCAGTCATGTCGTCAAAGCCCAAGCCTAAGCGGCCAAATGCCGTACGCCGAATCATGGAGCGTGAAGAGAGCCGCGAGCGCCGTTTCAGGGAGGCTTCAGTAGCATCTAATGGGGGGGCCAGCAACACTACACCTGCGCCTACAGCAGCCGCACCGCCTAAGCCTAACCGACCCAAGTGCGCCAACCCGAAATGTCCAAAGCCCAATGTCGTCGACGGAACCTGCCAGACTTGTGGTATGGTCGCTGATGACAGCAACATTGTCTCCGAAATCACATTCGGTGAATCTTCTTCTGGTGCCGCCGTTGTTCACGGTACTCATGTCGCCTTTGATCAAGGCGGGATCCGCGGCGTTGGTGGTCTTGCATTCCGCCGTGTTGCTGGCGGTGGTGCTTCTGAAGCCCGTGAACGAAGTCTCCGCGAGGTCAAGGCTCTTATGCAACAGTACTCCTACCAGCTCAGAATCGGACAAAGCATCAGCGATATTGCTTTCCGCTACTACAAAGCCTGCTCACACGCCAACTTCGTCCAGGGTCGCCGTAAGCAAAATGTGGCCGCCATCTGCTTGTACGCCGCTTGCAGGGCGGAAAATAACCACAAGATCATGCTCATAGACTTGGCTGATCTCCTCCATACCGACGTTTTCGCTCTTGGTCGTGGCTACAAGGACTTCCTCAACCGGTTTCCTGAATTTCTCACAGGCCCTCGGCCCATCGTGATTGAGGATCTCATTTACCGTTTTGCTTCCAAACTGGAGTTTCTGCACGACACCAACAAAGTAGCCTTATCCGCTGTCCGTATTGCGAAGCGCATGCAACACGACAACATCACCCATGGTCGTAGGCCTGCTGGTATCTGCGGTGCGGCTCTCATCATGGCCGCCAGAGCTCACAACTATCGCCGTACTGTCAGAGAAGTTGTCTACATCGTCAAGGTCACAATGGCCACCATTCAGGAGCGAATGGACGAGTTTGCCAGCGTACCCGCTGCCCAGATGACTGTACAAGACTTCGACAACGAGGACCTCTTGAAAGCGGCTCCAGAGCACGATCCCCCCTTTGTCTACAAGCAAACAGACGAGTGGAAGGCCAAGCACACCCGCCCTAAGAAGAGGAAGAGGAAGGAGGCTGGAGACGGCAAGAAGAAGGGGACCAAAAAGATCCGGACTAACGATGGATCCTCGGCCGCACCCCAGACTATCGACAAAGATGGCTTCGTTGTCCCTCCAGTTCCCCGGCAAGAAGGAGACAGCGATCCTGATGTTGAGGCCGAGGCTCTCATCGTTACTGCAGTTGCTGGCGAAGAGCAACAGCTAAAGACATTGGTTGAGGAGTACGGTGAACTGGATGAGGAGGATGAGGATGAAGACGGCGATTCGAATTCCGATTCGGATTCGGACGATGAAGAGGAGGATGTTGATCCCAGCAGCGAGGTCGCCTTCGCCAAGGCTCAAGGTGTCGACATTGCCGCTTCTGGGGCCTCCAGCAATGGCGAAACATCCGGAAAAAATGGTGACAAGGAGAAAAAGAGAGGGAAGAAGCTTAGGAAGATTACGATGCCCATCACCCAGGAATGGCAGACGGATGAGGCTCTTTTGGAGAAAGAGATGGAGGGGCATCTTCACGATCCCGAGTTCCTCAATGCCGCTCAGGCCGAAAAGGTTGCAACGGACAAACGTGTTGAGTCGCAGAAGAAGCTGGCAGATGCTCGGAAGAAAAAACAAGAGCGAGCGCAAAATGCGAAGCAACAAGCCGCCAATTCTGCCTCTGTTCCTTCTGTCCCTGCACCCGCCTCTGCACCTGCTTCTACCTCTGGTCCTACTGCCGACCCCCCTCCTGCCCCTACCAGCACCGAGCAACCCAGCACAACCAAGGAGACTGACACGGTCATGGAAGACGCTGGTACTCGCGAAGAACGCCAGGATGAACCGGTCACAGACCGCCTCAACCCACCCTTATCGACCCAGTACACGCGCCCCGAGTACGTCCCCAACAAAGCTCTGGACGACCCCATCGTTCACGAGCACGAGTTCGCCGATGATCCTGAAGTCAAGTACTGCCGCCTAGGCGAGGCCGAGGCCAAGATGAAGGAGCAGATCTGGGTCAATATCCACGTGGACTTCCTCCGGTCTAAGCAACAGAGGGTGTTTGACGCGAAGCTGGCCGAGAAGAACAAGGGCCCCAACTCGAACAAGCGCAAGAACAAGAAGAATCGGGTTGAGGACAACGGCGGCGTGCCCGAGACGGCTGAGGAGGCGGCTGTCAACATGATGCGCAACCGCGGCATCAGTACCAAGCTTGATTACTCCAAGCTTGGCCAGATTTTTGACTTGGACTTCAACGAGAAGGGACCGGGAAGTAACGAGGCAGATAGCGCGCTGGCTAGTGAGGCTGGCGATGCCACTGAGAACCATGACAAAGAGGGCGAGGGTGCTGGTAGTGCAGCCGCTGCGGCTGTCGAGAGCGCTCCTGCTGCCGAGGAAGAGGTGCAGGAAGAGGTGGAGGACGCAGCACCTGAAGAGGAATTCGAAGAGGAATACAATAACGAGGACGAAGGCGGATATGACGATTACGATGAGGGTGGAGAGGAGGATATCAACCCCTTTGCCGATGACGACGAAGTAGATGACGAGGACGAGTACTGATTGGTTGGTAGTTTTGGTTTTTGTATGACGGAAGGATTCATTGGGAGCAAGCGAGCGTTCTTATCTTGATGAATATCTTATCATAAAACCCCTACCCATATAGGTGTATGTTATGTAATAACTAGATGAGCATATCTAGATTCGAGAATACAAGTTCAAACTTGGCGATTCG